CAGCGCGCCCGCTGCGCCCAGCTCCCGCGCTCGGCCGACCCCGCACCCTCCCGGGCTGGGGGAGGGAAGCCAAGGGAGGAGGCCGGCCCTCGGCCTCGCCCGGAAAGCACCTGCGATCCCCTGCCCTCCGGGATCCGGGGCGCCCGCGTGTTCTCCCCACCCAAACCTGGAAATCCCCTGTGATCACTTGAAGAAATCCGGAGGCCAGCAACGAGGACCCCCTGGAACAGCGCTCTGGAAGCCCGAGGGGCGAGGCAGAGCTCCTCCCGCCTGCACTGTGGTGACCTGTGTCCACCCGGGTAACCTCAACCCAGTTAAGCCCAAAAAAACTCGACTCTTTGTAAATGGCAGCAAAGAAAAAACAATTCGTTCATAAACGAAGTCCAGAAACGGTATGATCGCTGTGTTCTGACAAACTTAGCCATTTGCCTTACTATTCCCAGAGTTCCCTCGCTTGCTTGCTTGAAGAAAAAAAAAATGTCTAGAGACCTATGGTTTCCATCATCCTCTAAATCCAGTAGTTCCCTGTCTGCAGATGGTGTTAAGGAAAAGGATGGATTGGAAAAGGTGAGAAGAATGAAAGCAGGGAGCGACTCCCACCTCAACAAACCACATCCACTTTAATAGAAAGGTGAGGAGGGACGCCATGGTGATCAGAATAGAGTCGGGAGAGGTGGAGGGACTTAAGTAGGGACCTAAGTGGGGGTGGCCACTCTGATCAGCCACCTAAAGAAGCTTGCAAGGTTGTGGCCTTCCCCTCACTCGTTGAAGAAATCATCCTTCGGGCCATTCACAGATCACCTCCCGAGAAAACAGGCATTTGCTAACTCTTCTGAGCAGTCCTGCTCTTCTTTGAGGTCCTCTTTGATATTGCAGATGGATTCCACGGTTCGTTTTCTAGCCTGTCTTCTGCCAAACGTTGCATTGGTGAGGAACAGGCTTGGTGTCTCATTCATCTTTGTTTTCCTAGTATCCGACAGCAAGTAAGTGGACAGTAAATGCTTTTGGAATAAGTGAAGTTATGCATTTTTGGCCCGGGGGAGAGGGGATTACAGGCATGAGCCACTTTGAACTCATCAACCAGTCCTTTTTATTTGATTCAGATCATTAAAGTTCACTGAAACCTTTATTTCTGCCATATTTTTTTGTTGTTACTACAAAGGTGATATACAGAGGGGCTACAGTTATATAAGTCAGGTAATGAGTACATTTCTTTTTGGACAATGTCACCCCTTCACTTGGCTGTCTGCCACTTTCCCCCTCAAAGGTTGGTCTCTCTCTCTCTCTCTCTCCTCTCTCTCTCTCTCTCTCTCATCCTAGGACTTGAACTCTCAGCCTGAGCACTGTCCCTGAGCCTCTTTGTGCTCAAGGCTGTAACACTCTACCACTTGAGCCACAACACCACTTCCAGCTTTTTCTGAGTGGTTTATTGGAGATAAGAATCTCACAGACTTTCCTGACCTGGCTGGCTTAAAAACAATCCTCCAATCTCAGCTTCCTGAGTATCTGGTATTACAAGCATGAGCCACCAGCACCCAGCTTACCTTTTCTTTTTCTTGTCCTTTTTTTTCCTAAACATCACTCTTCCTCTAAAATTCTTGCACCTGAGCTGGGAAGGTGGCTAAGTGGTAGAGCGCTTGCCTTGCATGCATGAGGCCCTGGGTTCGATTCCTCAGCACCACATAAGCAAAAAGAAAAAAGCCGGAAGTGGTGTTGTGGCTCAAGTGGTAGAGCGCTAGCCTTGAGCTGAAGAGCTGAGGGACAGCGCCCAGGCCCAGAGTTCAAGGCCCCATGACCGGACCCAAAAATAAAAAAATAAAATTCTTGCACCTGTGGTATGTTACTCTTATATCTGAATGTATTTTTATTGCTACATACTATGCTGTGCATTTCTTCCACTATACTAGAAAGAGAAGTCCCCCTGCTCATTAAATATTTACTGAGCCAGGCATTGGTGGCTCTCGCCTGTAATCCTAGCTACTCAGGAGGCTGAGATCTGAGGATTGCAGTTCAAAGCCAGCCCAGGCAAGAAAGTCCATGAGACTCCCATCTCCAATAAACCACCCAAAAACTAGAAGTGGCTCTGTGGCCCAAGTGGTAGAGCACTACCTTGAGCTGGAGAACTGAGGTTAGGCTCCAAGCCCAGAGTTCAAGCCCCATGACCAGAAAAAAAAATTTATTGAATGAGTGGATTAGTGAATGTCACAAACACTGACTGAATACCATGGGTCTAGTACTGTTCTTGGCTTAGTTGACACACAGCAATGAAAAAGACCTAGAAGGTCTTTTTTCCCAGTGAACCTACAAATGAATGAATGAAGAAAGAAATTCATGAAATTAATCCTTCCACACATTTTCCCTCTATTAAAAAATTGTTCTGGAAGTTTCCAGGGTATTATTTATGTTATCACTAATAAATTTTGTTACTTTCTACTCACTCAGAAAGTAATAATGTCAACAAAGTTATTAGAATATCACCCACATAAAATGCTAGGGCTGGGAATGTGGCTTAGTGGTAGAGTGCTTGCCTAGCATGCATGAAGCCCTGGGTTCAATTCCTCAGTACCATGTAAACAGAAAACACGGGAAGTGGCGCTGCGGCTCAAGTGCTAGAGTGCTAGCCTTGAGCAAAAAAGAAGCTCAGGGACAGTGGCTAGCAAGGCCCTGAGTTCAAGCCCCAGGACTGGCAAAAAAAAAAAAGGAAAGAAGGAAGGAAGAGGAAGGAGAAGGAGAAAGAGAAGAAGAAGAAGAAGAAGAAGAAAAGTAGCTGAGGAGTGAGGTCCCACACTGCAATCCAGGAGGCTGAGACCTGCAGGAACTTGATGTTAGAAGCCAGCTCAGAAAACTCCAAGAGACTGTCTCTAATTAACAAGTAAAAAGCTGGACTAGAGATGTTGCTCAAGTGATAGAGCACTAGCTAAAAGAAAGCCAAGCTATTTGGGCTCTAGTAAGTCACACCTATAATCCTAGCCACTCAATAGGCTGAAGTCTGAAGATAGCAGTTCACAACCAGCCAGGCAGGAAAGACTATGAGACTCTTTTTTCTTTTTTTGCCAATCCTGGGGCTTGAACTCAGAGCCTAGGCACTGTCCCCGAGCTGCTTTTTTGCTCAAGGCTAGCACTCTACCACTTGAGCCACAGCACCACTTCCCGCTTTTTCTGTTTATGTGGTACTGAGGAATCGAACCCAGGGCTTCATGCATGCTAGGCAAGCACTCTGCCACTAAGCCACATTCCCAGCCAAAATATTTTTAATGTGTTATTATTAATGGGAAATGGGTTACCACTTCGTAAGTTGGGTAAGGAGTACATTTCTTTTGGAGAATGCCACCCCTTCCTTTGCTTTCCCCAGTTTCTCCTTCCCATCCCTGTCCACAAGTTGCATAAATCATTTTCAACATAGTGTATACTGAATGGCATGACTGCATTTGTTCACCCTTCCTCTTTCCCTTTCTGCATCCCTTTTTGCCCTCCCAAAAGAAAAAAAAAACCAAAAGCAAAATCAGACACTACCACCACCAACAAAAACACTAACAAAAAATGCATAAATGCTTTTACATAACTATTCATATATTGACTTTTCTTTTTCCTCTGTATACATTATGTCTCTGGTTTTTACCTAGCGATATGTACATTCCTACCATGCCAAAAATTATTAATTTTGTGTGTATCTATGTGCACATGCATGTGTGCATGTGTATCAGTTCTGGGGCTTAAACTCAGGGCCTGGGCACTATCTTGAGCTTTTTTTGTTCAAGGCTATTGCTCTACCTCTTGATCCACAGCTCTGTTGTCTCCTGACATTCCTGCCCAGGCTGGCTTTTTTTTTTCTTTTTTTTTTTACTGTAAAGGTGATGTACAGAGGAGTTACAGTTCCATAAGTCAGGTATTGAGTACATTTTTTCTTTTTCTGGGTCCGGTCATGGGGCCTGAACTCTGGGCCTGAGTGCTGTCCCTCAGCTCTTCAGCTCAAGGCTAGCGCTCTACCACTTGAGCCA